TGCCTTTTGTCTGTGAGAAAACAATACAGTGGAAGTTGTAGCTTTTCACACTCATCTGTGAAAGGCCGTAAACACGGCAGGGGTTTCTGGCGTCAGATAGAGGGTCAGAGATAGCTCCTGGTTGGATGAGCAAAGATACGCCTTATTTGAATAAATTAAAGATAGGAATACGCCTTTTACTATAAAACTTTCTACACAGAAGTAACAAATCAGATTTTGATCTTGCAACTCTCCAAAGACGTCTTTGCTTTTCTTTCTTTCCTTCTTTTCCAAGTCTGTCAGGTAAATGAATGTATGTCTCCGTTGTTCTGCAGTTTCTGGTGTAAGTTTATACATTGTCTTACATTGGATTAAACTCTGTAATTCTGTGATGTCAACACGCATTGCTGTTGTTTTCCTTGTGGCTACACGTGGCCCGCCGAGAGGACCTGGGATCCAGAGGAAGAGAGAGCCAAACTTTTTCCAAAGTTAACTATTTTAGAAATTCTTCCTTAACATTTGGGGGCTCGTGCCGGTTCTGGAGTCTCGGCGGGCGGCTGTTTGGCCCTGATTGATCCGTTTCGGCCCGACGCTTCGGTGTGGTAAGACACTATTTAATTATTTTTTTGGTTGTCTGAAGCGCTGTGTCGTTGGACCGTCGCTGATTGCTTTTGGTGTGTGCGGCCTCACAGAATTTAGAAGCTGCAGCGGTATATAAAATCCCTCCTAAAAGAGTCTATAGTTTAAGGATTTGAAAATACACATAAAACGGGGGTTCGTGGCTGTTCCAAGCAGCAGGACTTTGCGCTCCCTCTGCTAAAGATGGGTTTCTTTTGAATTCTTTGCCCTGAGAGTCGTCCCGTACCTCTTTAAAAGAATTTGGGTGTCTGTGTATTAAATAGCATGGGTTTGTATCAACCCGGAGATTACGACTCATCTCCAGTGGACTAATAATTGGACTGGTTTGGGATTTATTGGATAGGTTTGGGTTGAATCACCCTACTCTGCGAGTTAAAGGACTGAAGCGGGTTGAATCACCCTACTCTGTGAGTTAAAGGACTGAATCGGGTTGTATCACCTTTACTCTGGCTCTCTGAACCGGGTCGCCGTAAGTAGAAGTCTGTTGCTGGATGTATCGTCTTTCTCTGGGACCCTGAATCGAGTTGCCAAAGAGTATAAAGGACTGAGAATAATTAATTTAGTACAGGTTGAATCACCTTAAAGGACTGAGAAGTTGAATGAGAATAAGAGATTTGTAAAAGTGAAGTTGGAAGATTAAAAAAGATGCATCGTACGTTCTTTTAGCCGGCGCCTGACATTTTCTTTTCTTTTCTGTCTTTTCTTGGCTGAACTACGACGTCGTCTGTGTATCTGCGTTTGTGTGCGTGCTTGGCTGCGAGTTGATCTATTACTGATTTTGTGTCTGTCTGTCCGCCATTTTATGTTTCACCGCGCGCTGCTGTCTGTCTCTGTCTGAGTTGTGTTGAGATTTTGCAGAAGAGATTTGTGTCTTAAGTGTTTGTCTGTTTTGCTGGATGTTATGTTGCTGTGTTTCTGTTGACTCATGCTTCTGTGGGACAGAGATTTCTTCTCCATTTTGGTTACAGGTTTTGTTTCACAGAGCAGGGGGCCTGATTGACCACTCCATTTGCATTTTGGGAGTGCTTCAGTTCTGTTAGCACTGACATTTCCAGCTCACTCTTTCAGGATTCTTGGAATTTGATGTGAATTTCTTTTAGAACTGTGTTTTATGTTGAAATGAAAAGTACAAATTAACAGATTTACAGATGTTTTTACTTTCTCAGCGGGAGAAATGTGTGGCATCAGTTCCAGGCTGGGGCACTGGAATGATCTCATTGCTTTTTTATAATATTGTAACATTGACAATCACTTCAATTTCTAGGTTTCCTGACACAGGATGGAACACCCTCACTGATTGGAACAAGGGAACAAAAACGAGAACATATGATGTTTTTCTCCTTGACAGTGTTTTCTACACTGTTAATGTAGGACATGTTGGAACACTAATGAATGACTTTGTTTCTTGTAGGACGATCTTCGTGTGCAGTCCATTTTGCATATTACATGACCGCATGAACGGTTTTTGGGACTTTCCTACAGGGGGTCTAGTTACTGGGTAGCCATTTAATAACAGTGGGCTATCATGAAATAAGGTTGTGTGTATAAAATGGAGTTTTTGAAATAGGTTCACTCAGAACTGAACAACATTTGAACTACTGGATAATTATGTTTCTTTCGGGCATGGCCTTATGATAATTGTGTTTAAAACTTTCTACAGGACGAATTTTGGTTTGAAATTTGGGTAAATGTGTGTTTGGAAGATGGAACCAGTACAAATTGGGAGGTTCTAACTTTATGGTTCACAAATTTTTTATTTTACACATTGGAGTGTGATGAACAAATTACAGGTGAACATGGGAATCTTTTCAGTTGCTGTAGGTGAATTACACTACTTAATGTGTTTGCCCAATGTCATCGAGGAGAATTGGAAAGTATATTTCTTACATTATAGGTCAACTAATGTAAAGATGCCTTCAAATACTGAGAATGGGGTCGTGTTCCTGCTCTCACGAGAGTGTTGGGGGCAGATCACACCTCACTTTGTTTGGTCAGTTTGATCTGGGGTAACATCCTGCATCTTTCTTACAATGGGATGTAAATGAGTCTGTTTGAGTGTGAATGAGAATGAATGTGTATGCAGATGGCCATTGCTGGGTTTTAGGAAGCGCTATGTAAATATGACGTCACTTTAGGGAGTAGCTGTGTGATATTTTTTCTGATTTTGTACTGTTTAGACACAGTGCAGGTTTTGTTTCATAAATATACTTTTATTACTGCTTTACGGACAATCTTAAAGGTGATGATTACATATTTTGGTATCACAATCTGGTTAAAGCTGAGTCATCTGCTTGTGCAGTAGAATTAATGCAGACAACAGAGGCGGCACAACTTCGGCCTTGACTTAAAGCAGGTTAGAATTAGTAACTGAGAAACTGTCTCATCCACTTTGACTAACAACACTAACAAACTAACCTAACTTCTAACTAAATTAACTTGGTTTATGTGTTGCATGGGTAACTGATTGGACATGTTGAAATTTTAGCATAATGGGGAAAGTTCTTTAATTTTAGTTTTCCACCTCTAAATTGTTTTTCTTTTTGGAAATAAGAAAAACACAGGGGGATATTATAAAGATAGGAGATTACTGATAGAACTTTGAAATTTAAAACATCCCAGTCTATTTTGAATACTAGATGGAAGATTTGGAGAAATGGTGGAACATCTTATAATATTTTGGTTTTTCAGCAAATTATTATATAACAGTAACATAGATTCCAAATTCTTTTCAAAATGATAATTTTATTATATCAACAGGGGGAGATGGAGTAGTAGACCCTAATTCCTGGTCAATTT